TGGTTGGTCGTGCGGGTGGCAGCCACTCGATGTGTCCCTTCACGTCGATGTTTCTCTCTCTCCCTTCCTCTCTCTCCCTCCCACTCCATCTGTACAAAAAATGGAAAAATATCCTCGGGTGAGGATAAAAAAAAAAAAAAAGAAAAAGAAAAAGATTTAACTCTCAATTATAGAATTTTTGAGAAGATATTTATTAACAATGGTTACTTGTAATATAATAAAAATGGTGACCACCAACAGATTCCTTAACAAGGTGTTAAATTATTCTGGTGCTTTGCTTTAAGATCAGAGATTTTCAACTGGTGTGCCACAAGAATTTCTAAAACATGCAATACCTGACTAGTTAGGAGCACTGACATCTTTTCCCTTAGATTGTCAAATGAAAATATGACAACAGCTGTCCAGTGTGAATGAAATAAAAATTATACCTATTGTTTTTTCAGACTGGCAAAAAATATATATATTTTTGGAATGCCACAAAAGTTTAGTAATTAGTTTATATGTGCTATGAGATGAAAAATGTTTAAAAAATTGCTGCTTTAGACTACTGGTATGTTTTGCAATCAACTTTCCAGAGCACATTTGCAGATTTATCAAGTTTGTGAATCACCTATGGTAAATTTTTCAGTACTGTTATGAGCATGTTTTCAATGCCACTTTCTGCTACTGTCATGTATGTGAATAGGGAATATCAGCTGATACAGTGAGCAAGATTTTATAATGCTTCTAATTTATTTAATGAGAGAATGTATTCCAATAACATTTTTCTTCCGAGTTTTGATTTTGTTAATAAAACAATTTTGGACAATACTAAGTATCCAGAAAAGTCAACTAATAAATATTTTCCAAACTCCCACTATTTGCTAAAATGGTGTAACATTTGAAAACAGCTGGATATATGAACAAAATTTTCAGTCTTCACTGCAATGCTTTGGCATTGGGTAACTAGAGCTAGGAAAAAAGATATTCATAACTTAATGAGACAAAGCTATCTCCAATAATAGGTTTGAGTTCCTTGTTTATAAAATAACTAAAACTTTAAAGTTGTAACTAGATGAAGAAAATATAGGAAGTTCAGTACATTTCTTCAAATCGGATGTCAAATTGTCAATATGCTTTTCTCTAACCACAATTGTCAAATACGCAATACTATTTTGGAGGTCCACAGAATCGAAGACTGCTTTTTTACCACGCAAAAAACGGGTATGATTTTCTCCAAAAGGATAAATTTGAAATGATTTTCACTAAACAAAGTTTTGTCTCATTCTATTTAAACATGATTTTATTTATATACTTATTTTTTATCCTCACCCAAGGACATTTTTCCATTTTTTGTTCAGATAGAGTGGGAGGGAGAGAGAGGAAGAGAGAGAGAGAGAGAAACATCGACATGATAGAGTGGGAGGGAGAGAGAGGAAGAGAGAGAGAGAGAGAAACATCGACGTGAAAGGGACATATTGAGTGTTTGCCACCCACACGACCCAACCAGGGCCAGGGACAAACTGCAACTGAGGTACATGCCCTTAGCGGGAACCAAACCCGGGTCTCTGGACCACAGGCCAACACTCTAACTGCTGAGCCAAACCAGCCAGGGCTATTTATACACTTTTATCGTTATGACTTTTCTGGCTAAGTAATTATAATCTTTTCTATTCAGATATTCCACACTTACCTGAATATAAAAAGTTTTTATTGCTTCACCAACAAAGAAACAAAATAATATATTCAGCTCAAAGCTTACAGGTATATAGTTTGGAGCTAGTTTAAGTTTTAAAACTCATGAACCTTGAGTTTCATGCAGGTTTATCAAAGGGTATAAAAATGCCTTTACCAAGTAAGCATTTTCATAATATATCTGTCTTGCATGTGTGTACGAAACTTGTTTTATTCCCTATTTAATTGATTTAAAAATTGGAATAATCAGGGTTGTCCAGGACTAATAAACAATTTGAAAATGTTCTTGCCAGAGAAACCATGTTGGTGGGTCTTTGTGACCATTTCCAGTACTTAGCTTTGTATTTAAAAATTTTTTATCTATGGAGCTAAAGAATAACTCCCTATAAATATGGCACAGTTACTGGGTCCAAGGGTAGAGTTTATTTTTCTGCTAGACCAACAAGAAGGTATTTATCATCCAACTATTCTACTCAGAAAGTAGCAGAGGCTTGTATACTGAAATTTAATAGTAAATAAATATAAAAAAGAACTGAGTTTATTTAATCAGTGCTAACATAAAATGACTCCTGAGTTTCAAAAAGCTCTATTTTTGTTTGTTTGTTTCAGTGACTCATGTAGGTGGGACAGGATCAATACCGAATGATCTAAAGTTAGCCAAGAAGACCTAATATTTAAGTTGGAAATGCTTTAAACACATATTTTAAAGAGTAAATAAATAAATGACACTCAAAATAAAGATGCTTAATAAGTATGCAAAACAAAAAAGAATAAAATTTAAGTTAAATAGTGTCACAAAGAAAAAGAATAACTTCATAAACTATGATCCCCATGAAAGACAAATATAAAAGGAAGCAGAAAGGAGATAGTATTAAGTTTGGCATTTGTTCCTTTAAAATACTAAAACTTATATTACTATTTTATGTAGTAAGTTTTGAAAGCTTCATTCAAATTGCAGCTTTTAGAATAAGTGAACAGAAACACTACTCCAATGATGTTCTAAGAAGAGTTTATATAACTTTCAAAAATATCTAAGTTATTCCTTGGGAATACTTGCACACCAGGAGAAAACCTAGTACTACAGAAGAAATATATTATGTATTCTGACTGTGCACTCTTATGTTTTCATTCACTATCTTTTTCAGTACTCTTTTCTACACACTGTGATATCCTGTTACATGGACTCAATCACAGTCTCCTTTCGATTAGAATTAGTGATGCTTTTGAAGACGATTTGGCCATGTGATATACTTTTGTACAGACTTTTGAGCAACAGCTTACTCAAAGCACAAACAACTAGTTTAGATGCATAACAAAACTAATTCTTTTATTTATACCCAAAGTTGCTATAGCTTCATGACTGGTTTCTTTCATTTATCTTTCTCAATGCCTCTCTTTCTTAGCACCTGTCCCACTTTCCCAGGTGTCCAAGCCTGAGCAAAGCTGAAGAGAAAGAAAACAACATGAACAACTGGCCAACAATTTCTTAATGCAATTCAGATACCTGTGTTTTATTTAAATTTAAATTATTTAGGATCTAGCTATTTATTTTATAGATTACCCAGACTCTGCTTTTTGTTTCTGTTTCTCTCATTCATAGTTCAGACATATTTTCTTCAAACATGATTCCATGAGGGCAAGAAACACAGAAGTAATCGACTGTATAACAAAGACTATCATTTATTACTAGCCTGAGTTTTACAGACAAGCCATTTGATGAAAGAAAACTATTTATTATTATTATCATTATGAATAATTTTAACTCAGGTTTAAAATTTGTGTCCCTTCAATACAATGTAACCCAAGGAAACATTCTGTTTAACTTGTAAGTGCTAAAAATGCAAATATAATCTAATATTTAAAATCAGACGTCACATGAAAAGCTAGATTTCCAGCTGACCACCCATCCCCAAATGAAAAGATTTAGCAGCATTTGACCAAGCTGCCATACAGAAACAGCTGGCTAGAGAAGACAGAATCATGGCTTTCCCCTTTCAATGCGACAAGGGCTACAGTCCCTGCCCATTTGCTATTGTCTTCAACACCAAGGCCAAATGTCAGTAGCCATGTGTCATCCATGTTTATCTTTTTATTTCAATTACTGAGAATATTTTAGACCCATGATTAGTAAGTAAAAAATAAAAAATATATCTAAAGGGCCTTGTTTCTAAAACACATGAAAGTAAAGAATAATCTTGCATGTTCAATACACAAATAAAGTGTCTGTCAGACTACAATTTAAAATGGCACTATGAAATAAACCACAGAAAGACCTGATTTCTGGGAAGCTACCAGAATTTTAACATTTGGCCCATGAAGTAATTAATATAAAATAATAAATAAATAAATTTTTGTGACATTTAAAAGTATAGTGAAGCTTTCATGTCACTCTTTTTATGTTCATTTGATTAATAATTATATAGGCTACAAGTATTTATTAAATTACTCAAATCAGACATCTGCAAATGCTTTTATTTTTATGCCAGATTTTACTAAAAGATTATTTTTACTCTTCCAACTAAACCTAGTATCTAGATAAAATAATTTTACTTATAAAGATAGTGTTTATGTTTTAAAGCTACTCCTGGTACTAATATAAAGTAATAAATATCAAGCTTTTTTTAAAATAATTTTTTTCTGTATTGATGTTAGAGAGAGAGAGAGAGAGAGAGAGAGAGAGAGAGAGAGAGAAACATCGATGAGCAAGAACATCGATTGGCCGCCTCCTGCAGGCCCCCTAATGGGGATCAGGCCCACAACCTGGGTATGTGCCCTGACCAACCGGCAACTTCTTGGTAGAGGGGTCGATGCTCAACCACTGAGCCACACTGGCCGGGTGAACCTTTTATTTTTAATCCTCACCCAAGGATATGTTTTTACTTATTTTTAGAGAGAGAGAAAGGAGAGAAACGTCCTGTACATACCCCAACTGAGGATCAAACCCACAACCTAGGTATCTGCCCTGAGTGGGAATCAAACTCACCACCTTTGGTGTATGGGATGACATGAATTTATACATCAACTGAGCCACCCGGCCAGGGTAAAGCTATTTTAATAGTTTATTTTTTAAATGCTCATAGCAAGAAATCTTAAGTCATACCACTGTGTTTCTTTTTAGTATTAACATGAGAAACCCTTCAAACACTAGTCTTATTTAATAAATGAGACCATTCTGTATTTTTCAAATATTGTAATTTTATATCGACTAATTATTAATTTTATATGCCACTTATAAATTCTTTGTTCATAATTTTTTATTTGTGCTATAGTAATGATAATTTTTAATCCCACCCCCCGAGATAAAGCAAGTTTTCAATTTTGTTTACCATTCTCATTGCTATAGTTCATCAGCATGCCACAAAAGACAGTCAAGAGCTTCTCATTGGCGGGATCAGTTATACTGCACAGTGACCTTAAATGGTCAATTACAATCTGTGCACCACCTGCTTGGTCAACTGCACTTCTGCCCTCATCTGTAAAACAAAGAGTTAAATTAAAAATAAAAGAAAAAAGAAATGGACCTTACAATTTCAAATACAAAACATAACAGTGTTATTCCTTATTTAGTGAGTAAATAAAAATAAACCTAAGAAGGGCATTACATGTCTTTTTGGAAATACAAAATAAAACAAATAAACATGGTAAGGGGCATGGGATGGGGAAAAGAGATAATCACTTTCCTTTCAAGAGAAGAAAAGATTACTTGCATTGGTATCATATAAGACCTTAAAGAATTTCTGTGTGTCCTAGGAGTTTATGATTATAACATGAAAATTTCCCCCTCCTCTTTTACAAACGCCAATTCTGTATAAGAGTAAAAAATAGGAACTAATAGTCTACTGGAAATATTTTCTCACCTTGGAAACCACTAAATATCTCTTTCAAAGTTGGATGTTATCAAAGAAAACTGTCTGTGGCACAGTGTAATTCTAGATCACAACATATAATGCCTAAATATTAGGACAAGGGTCTTTTTAATGACATTTTCTATAGTCCATAAGCATGTTCCTTTTTTTAATTCTTGGTACTTTGTGTTTCCCATTTCCTTATTCTCTCCAATCTAGAACACACAAATATACTTCAACATTACAACCAGTGGTCAAATGATGGTCAAACGATGGTCAAACATACATCATCTTATATAGAACAGATGTCATTTTACTGTTGGATTATAAAAAATAGCTTTAAAATACTTCCTAACACTTGAACATAAGACTGGAAAGAGATTAAAAAAAAAAGGGTCTTTCTAAATCTAACCTTTCCTTATGTAAAATATGGTAGACTCTAGGAATAGTATTATCCAACAGAAATATAAGAGCCACAAATGTGAGCCACATATATGATTTAAATTTACTAGTAGCCACATTAAAAATATAAAAAGAAACATTACAAATCATTTCAGTATATTTTATTCAATCCAATATATCTAGAATATGATCATCCCAACATGCAATCAACATACAATGAAATATTTTACATTCTCTTCTTTGTAATAAATCTTTGAAATACGAGTGTATTTTACACTTACAGTTACATGTCAATTCAACAAGCCACATTTTAATTGCTAAGGGCTTGTCACACTGGACAGTGCAGCTATAGAAGTGTAAAGAAAGGATCAGTAAAAGAAATGGCTCACAAAGGAATTATAGCTATAAAGTTAGTAAATAAAAGATTTTCATTTTTTTAGTGAAAGAACTAAAACTAAGGTCACATCTTTATATGATCAGTGGCAAATTATATTAGACAGTGAAACAATACATATCATTTCTTGTGCATACACACAACTTATATAGCAGTGCCTCATAAATACTTGCTTCATAATTTTGATGAGTTTTAAGAAAATTCATACTAAGATGAAAAGAGTTTTGTTCACCCAGTTCATGTCCACTTAGTTTTATTGTATTGTTATATAGATGCAGAACAAGGCCCTATACTAATCAGCTAGTAAGATCACAGAAAATTCTTAGTTGCCAGGATAACTAGTCAGATGAGCAAGAAAGTTAGTTATGTATCATTTAGAAATTTATTTTCCAAAGTTTTCTTTTCTAATAACATTATAAATTATCTGAATTGCTGGGCAATTTGTAACTGGATGATATGGGAGAAAACTGAAGATTAGGATTACAAATTTAAATGTTCAGACTTTCAATAATGTGAATATATAGTATCCTATGCCTAAATTGCAAAGCTCTCATTGCTGAGTAAATATGGGCTTTCACAATATAAATTTTGTATGTTTCAAATTTAGAAATCTTAGAGAATAGCTAAGTCTTAATTTCATGTACTAGAAAACTAAGGCTTAGAAACTGTGAGTTTTAAAAACTAAGCTGGCTTCCTCTTAATACTCAGCTATTCAATATTAAAAATCACCTCAATAAAAACAATATGGTGTTACCTCAAAAAATTAAAAATTGAACTTCCATTTGACCCAGTGATCCCACTTCTAGGAATATACCCTAAAAAGCCTGAAACACCAATCAGGAAGAATATATGTATCCCCATGTTCATAGCAGCACTATTTATAATAGCTAAGATCTGGAAACAGCCCAAGTGTCCATCAGAAGACGAATGGATAAAAAAGCCGTGGTACATATACACGATGGAGTACCATGCAGCTGTAAGAAAGAAAGATCTCTTATCCTTTGAGATGACATGGAGGGACCTGGAAAGTATTATCCGAAGTGAAATAAGCCAAGCAGAAAAAGACAAATACCACATGATCTCACTTATACACGGAATATAATGAACATAACAGTCTGAAGAATACGGTAGACCCAGAAACATGGAAGTAGGGCCAGACAGACATTCCTCAGAAGAGGGGGTGGGGGGTGGGAAGAGATAAACCACAGAACTTATATGCATGTATGCATGACCAATGGACATGGACAACAAAGCTGGGGATGGGGCGGGGGTGGGGTGGGGAGGAGGGTGTCAATGGGGTAAAAAAGGAGAAACATCTGTAACAAAAATAAATAAAAAATTTAAAAATATATATAAAAATAAAAATCACCTCAATAAATGTTAATACAGATGTACTCGACAAATATGTTCATCTTATTTAATAGTGTAATAAATAAGAATATAAGAGCAAACAGAAGGCAAATTACCTATCTGTATTGCAGAGCCAAAGTGTTTTTCTTCCTTTCTCTGCTTCCTTCCATTCCCTTCCTCCCTCCCAGCCCTGTATGGATTGTCTATAATGTGGCTGTCTACTCGTGTTATTAAGAGTTAGTTGCAGAAAATAAACTCAAGTTCTATATTACAAATTATATTATCAAATTTGAGAAGAGAAGCAAAACAAAGCACACATAACAGATATATAAGTTGAAACAATATTCACCATCACTATAGGAATATTTATATCTACCCTTCCTCCCCCCCTCCCCTTCTTTTGACTAATCAGCTAGGGAAACAAGATCAAAGGTAATTTTATTAAAATATTTTAAAGAATCTGGGAATGTAAAGAAATAAATTATAACTCTATGTTCTTTTACTCTACCAAAACCAGCAAAAGAGTAAGTCTTTTATGGCATCTTACAAATTACTTTAAATACATATTAGGACATCTGTCATTGCACAGGTTCTTTACCAAAAGGTTCTTTACCAAAAAGTTTCATATCCTTGAATGTAGGCTCACTTCTAACTCTTCTCATAAGTAACTTCTAGTTGTGAAGTATCCTGAGTAGTTACCTCTAGAAATAAAATGCATACCTTAATTTTCCACAATTATGCACTAGATAAAGTTGCAGCCCACCAACTCATTAAGCCCTGCTATATTCTTTAATGATGACCTGTCACACAAACTAGTTTCCAGCATATGAACTTTAAATATGAACTTTCTTCACACTAGGTAAGAGCAGAGTTTTAAATCTAAAGAGATACTGTACTTTCATTACTCTTCAGTAGCCAAAAGCAGAAAGCAATGAAAAGTTTATGTCATAGTTATTATATCTCACAAATAAAAATTTTAAAATGTTACAAAGTCTGTATTTCATTATAAGGTACAAGTTTTATAGTAAGGCCTTGCAAAGGATCTAAAAATACTGAATACAACTATAGTGACGTATTCTAGTATATCCTAATTTCAGATTTACTTGTATGTCTCCCCAAATAGGCTGTTCCTCCTTATGGGCAGCAAATGCCTAGTACAGTCGTCCCTCGCCACTTTGCGCTTGTCTTTCACGGCTTCACTCTATTGCGTTTTTTTTTCGAATATATTAATTAAAAAGTTGATGGAGACGGTGAAAATGACACAGCGCACGCTTAGCTGTCTGAGTCAATTATACACCCTGTATTAGAATTAAAATTAAAATTACTGTACGTACGGACTGTAGGCCTATGTATTAGAGCACCCCAGGAATCCTTCAATGCCAGGTGCAACTTCCAGAATCTGGAATGGATTAACCACAATAAACGAGGGATGGCTGTACATAGTAGGCACTCAATATTTATTGAATGACTGGGGCCTCTGGCTAGATTTTGGTAAATTAGCATTTACTTTGAGGGTGAAAGTGAGCATGAATGTGCGTGTGTTTGTTTGTCTGCAGTTTTATGTTTTAACAACCACAATATGGTTTAACTTTCTTTCTAAACTTTATTTCAATGAAATAATGTTGTATTTGTTGTTTTGTGCTTACCTTACTGCTCTACAATATTCACTGAATGAACACATCACAATTATTTGTTCTTTTGCTGATTAACACTTGGGTTGTTCCTAGGTTTGAGCTATTATTTATAAAGCATTCACTGCAATGTTGGCTCATACAACCTGCACATCTTCCACTGTCTCGATAATAAAAGAAAGCCAGTGTATATTTCCTCCAGTAGTGTGTGAGCTCCTGCTGTTCACCCCTTCACTACTGCTTGGGTATTATTTGACTTTTAAAGTTTAGGCAATTTGATGGGAGAGGTAGAAACTATTCCAGAATGTACAAGGAGCAGGTCTTTGCTGACAGTCATTTTTCTGTATATTCAATTAAGGCAGTTAATTTAGTATCAAGAGTATACAGCATGTATATGAAAAAAGGAACCCAAAACAATTGAAGTCATGGAGGGAGAAAGAGAAAGAGAGAGATAAATGGAAACATGTATAGACATTAGAATTTGAAAAGAAAAATAAACGGAGAGTGAGTTAAGTAGCTTACAGAAACTGGCTATAAAACCTATGTAATAGTATGACTGGAAAAAATTCTAGAACTTTTTTCTATATTCATGCTGACAGAAAAACCTTACAATAACATAAGCAAATACTTGTTTTTATCATTTCTATCATCACCAGCTTTCCCAAAAAAGATATTAAAAGGCTCAAATCTTTAAAAAGACTAAAGAGGACAACTTGGGAGGCAGTATGGTGCTGGATATAAAAGAAGTCCAGCCCTGGCCGGTTTGGCTCAGCGGTCAGAGCGTCGGCCTGCGGTCCGGAGAGACCCGGGTTCGGTTCCCGCTAAGGGCACGTACTTTGGTTGCAGTTTGT